GACACTCTGCTTGCAGCTGAGCATGTCCAGGGAAAGACCCACCTGCCCAGTTCTCATTCTCCCTCCTCCTGTTTTCAGAGCAATCTCTCACGTTTTCCTTCACTCCCTGCACCAGCAGCTCTCAGTTTATGCTTCTGGAAGAGGTTTTGGCCGAGGTAGGAGGAGGTATTCCCCTCTGCAAACACCAGAGGAGCAGAGCTCAGCTTCCACTCGCTCAGTTACAACTTCTGCTTCCCCCAGGCTACAGGTTATTCACTCACGGTGCGTAGAGACAACTGTATTCCTTCCTCCTCCTGCTTCTGCCATATTTTCACATCTCCCCGTGTCTGTTGTGATTCAGTCCCACCTTTAAATAAATACCTGACTTCCCCACGGGAAGAGGTCCAGGAGGTCCCAGCTGGGCTCTGTCTTTCCAGCTGAGTTCTCCGTGTTGGGTTATTGAGCTGTGGAAACATGGAGAGGAATTCAGAGGAAATTTTTTTGGTTCAGGCAAAGAAGAGCTGCAGCAGGGCAGGGGTGCAGCAGTTTACACTCACCATCCTCTGTGTTTGGTTATCTTTTGGCCAAAGACATTCAGTTTTCAGGTCAAACAGAAAAGGCACAATTTTCCAAAGTGAGGGCAGAGAGGGATCCACAACTTTTATGAAATATTCTGGTAGAAAACAACTGAAGGAGGATTCTTCCAGTGATTCTCAGATGTGGGAAGAGGGAGTGTTTGTTGCTGTGCTGCTCAGCATTGTGGTTTTGACGTTTATGTGAATTCCTGTTCCTGCTTGGGAGATGTTTGGCTTCTCCTGAGTAGGTTTTGTAGCAGAGGGCTCTGCTTTTCCTTCAGCCCAGGCTTTGGCATCTCCCAGATACCAGGAGGGATGTTTCAAGGCCCATTAGAAGCACAGAGGGGAAGGAAGTGTCACTCTTCAAACCCACTGTCTATCCATGAGATCCCTTAAAGCCGACCCAGCTTCCAGGAGGGAAAGTGCTGGTGCTTCTTCCCTTCCCATATTTCCACGCCAGGCATCCTGTGGAGAACCAGAGCACCACCACTGACAGGCAATTTGTGTCAGACTGTGATTTTGTTTGGAAAAAAAAAAAAAAAAAAAAGTCATCCTTAAATGCCTCAGAAGCTGGAATACAGCAGATATCCTGTGGAATGAGGCACTGTGGCAGGTGGGCGTGGGGGTTATCGGTACAGTAAGGAGAGGACAAATTAATCCAGTTAGAAATATCCAAAACAATGGGTATCAAGGGTCATTCAGCTCGAGGTGGCACCTGCGGAGCCCAGCGAGATGTTTGCTTCCTCTTATTTATATCTTTCCCTGCTGGTGTTGCCCTGAGCAGTGACAATTCCCACCTCCCCAGCAGCTTCTCACACCTTCTTGTCACCTAATCAGCGAGGCAATGGGTGTCCCCACCCCCTGCAGCGCTGGGGGATGCTTTACATCTTCCCCTGGGAAGGATGTGGGTTTTCGTGCAGCTTTAAACGTGAGTTGGATTTGTCTCAGCAGAGCCCCGTGTCTGTGCCCGTCCTGGGAGCTGCCTGTTGTACCAAATCCATAGGGAAAATGAACTTACGGGTGGCTTTGCGGCAGGTAAAAACACTGGTTGTGGCTGGGAGCTCTGCTGGTGCCATGTGTTTTGGATGGTCTATTAAAACCCCGATTTTTAGCTAAAATTCCAGCTTTAAATGTGGCCAGTTTATCACCCAGGTCCCTCCTCGAAAGGTCTGGAGCTTTCCCCGAAGCATCGGGCCGGGGCCAGGCCCTGGGTGGAGTTTTCCAGGCTGTTTCCAGCCCCCATGGGGAGCACAGGCAGGGGCAAACTCCAGAAAACAAACTGTTTTATGCTTATTGACAAACAACTGTGTTAGAAATTAATCTCATTACTGCCTAAATGTCAGCACTCCTTGTATTTAAAGGACGAAAAGATGCCCTTGCTCTCATTTTAATGCTGGTTTTTGAGCCCTGCTTGCTTGCAGACTTGGTGTTAAAAGCAGGGTTTGCTGGTTGGGAGGGAGCATATCTGGCTTGGGGTATCCAGACGTGCTGAGTGACGCTCTCAGAGCAGAGGGAGCTGTTTGGAAGTGCACACCCCCCAAAGCAAACCAGAGCGGGAGGTCAGCCCGTGGTATTCCCAAGCCATTCCCAGCCCACATACGTGTGGAGTCGCTTTTGAAGCTCGTGGCTGCTTGTCCAAGCTGTGCAGAAGGACACAGGGACCTGACCAGCCCTTGCTGGGAAGAAGGAGATCTGAGGGGAGGAGGGGCTGCATGGAGGCACCTGTGGGAGGGTGGGACAGATGCACTCAACAAACCCCTCAACCCAACCAGCAGCACTTTGGGACAGCCTCCACAGAGGGTTCTGAACTGTGACAGGGCCAAGAACCCCTCTAGGAAAACCACGGAAAACCAGGGATCTGCTGCAGGTGAGCTTGGACCACCAGCAGCAGGATTAACTCATGAAGAGCAGTGGCTTTTACAAGGCTCATTTATCAAGGAACAAAGAGAGTTGTGGGTTGAAGACAGATACACCCTTCCCACTGTATTCCATACAAACCAACCACTTTATCCCATAATTTTGGCACTCAAGGTGAACCTTCCTGAGCTCTGCTTGGCAGGTGATCCCCCCTCGAGCTGGGACACCCCTCAAAGTTGCTCCTTGAGGCTTGAGAGACTTTTTCACTAATGGCAGACCTTTGGAGGGGCCTAATTTGATTTCTTTCTAAACTGCAGCTGGGCTGCACTCCAGAGACTCTGCCCTGGAGCTGGGACATCTCTGGAGGTTTGAGATTCCTTACCTGGGATTGAGGGATCCTTCCTTACCCAAGACCCCTTGCTCACAGCAGATCCTTGGTGAGCTGCTCGTGGTGAACCAACACCACTGAAATCCATGGAGTTAATTCCTTTGGACTTAAACTGTTGTCCAGATCTGAGACTAAGGTTGGACTTAGCCACAGATGAGCTGCAACAGGAGTTTAGAGAGCAAGGGATTATACTCCAAAGCCCATGGCTCAGAGGGTGCCCCTTCAGACCTGTGTAAACCATTTGAGCTCAATTCTGCTTCAATTTTCCCTGTAAACACACAGGACTGACTGAACCTCATCACTGAACTTCATGGAATTGCATTTTTATAAATCCCTATTAAAAGTATTCTTGCTGAAGCCTTTGATGGGGATTCTTTGAGTGACCTAAAATCACTCATTCCCGACAGGGGCAGGGCTGGACCTTCACCCTCCCACCCAAAAAACCCAACCCAAGGCAAGAGGAAGGGGGGGAGGTTTTAATTGGAACCATTCCCTGCAGCTCCAGGGTCACCAATTCCTTGTGCAACACAGAATAACAGGTTCCTTTTTTTTTCTTTTTTCTTTTTTCTTTTTTTTTTTTTTCCTTTTTTGAACTGGAAACTTCGAAGCAACAGGTTCATGTTTCTCCTCACATATGCCTCACATCTTTGCTTTTTGTTGTTTTGGCTAAATCTATCCTCCCAGGACCCCACAGCACACCGAGCAGCATATGGCCTTCTACTTGCTTCATTTCCAGCCCTCATTTTTTCCCACAGTAAACCAGACTTTTTCAGGCAATACTAATCCCTTGTGCCTGTCACTGGGAGAGAAAAGCATTAATAACTGCAGTTATCCTGGAAATATCTGTCACCCACATTTGTTTTTCCTTTCCCTTTGGGTAATCATGCTCCAGATCTAATTACTGCCCAAATTTCTTTTACTCCGACGAGCAGCGTTTTGGGTTTCCTCCCTCCCTCCCCGGCCGGGTGGAAGACGAACTCCGTGGTGGGGGATCCGTGTTGATTTACACCAGCTGAGGAGCCGCTGCTCCACGCCTTCATTGCGTATGTGGCTCGGGGTGACGAGCACGGTGCTGACTGATGGCTTCACAAGCCATGGGACTGAACGTGTGCAGAGCGGGGGAGCCCAGCAAAAGCAGGGAGAGGCTGAGTGGGCTCGGGATGAGTCGCCGGGAGAGCAAGGAGGAAGGAAAAAGTGGTTTCATGCTCTCCGGCAGAGAAGGAGCCAAAACTGGGGGCAGTGACACGGGGAACGGGCGGGGCGGGGCGGGGGGGAGGTGGGATGTCCCACTGTCTCACACCGGCATTTGGGAGCCACAGCACAAGGAGGGAACCTGAGCTGGCTGGATTTCCCTCCTCCTTGGCTGACTCACATCTGCGAGGCAAAATGTCAGGGCTGAGCTTTGGGAAGGCGTGGAGGAGCAGATTGCAGAGCCCCGAGGGAGGCGGGTGCGGCTGACGGGCACAGCTCCCACTTTTCCACAGCTTTCGCTCTTGTTTTTTATGGATCAGCGATGACACGCATGGACGAGGAGGCATCTCCTCCTCCACCTGGCAGCAAACCGGCCCCTGGGAGCGTCCTGGGCACAGCCAGCCACTGGGTGAACTGGTCAGACTGGGAGAGCTAAACTGCCCAGTAAACCCCCAGGAGTTTGTCATTAATCAAGAGGTGGAAAGGAATCTGCCAGGATGGGATAAGGGGACTGTGGGGACAGGGGGGCAAGGAGAGAGCAGGGCTGGGAGGGTGGCAGGGCAAGTGGGGCTCTGCTTTTAACTATAATCATCCGCACAGCTGCGACCCGAGTGGGTTCGGGAGCAGAACAAACAGCCAGGCTGCTGGGAATGGCTGTGGAAAAGCCTGTGGTAACACAGGTTTTGATTCCTGAGAGAAGGAAAGGGTGTAAGAAGTGCAGACAGCAACTGGTGTCTGAGGAAAATCACCCAATTACCCCTCAGGGACCCAAGATCGATGGCACCGTGTGACCCTGGAAGTGACTCAGGGACAGGACACCGACCCTGGCACTGGGGCTGTGAGTCTGCAACAAGCGCTTAAAGCCATCATAAGTCAATGGATTTGGGATCTTTCCTGGCTTAGGTTTAGCAGCTGAGGCCATGAGAGAGAATTGATGTTCTGGACAAAAGCTCACTCAACCACTTCCACTTACAGGGAGGCAAAAAAAATTGATATATTGGCCACAAGAAGGAAGAGGAAAATATCGAGTTTCGCTTATTTTGCTCCCCAGCAATATTCAGGACGTGAACAGAGAGAAAGGGGCGGAAAAAAAAAATGCAAGGAATGGGGAAACAAAAGAGAGACAAGACGTCTTTTCTTTGTCTTTTTTCCTTAATTAATCTTGGGAGGTGATGACAGCATGGGATGAGAAATGGGAAGTAAATGCTCTGCTAACAGCCTTTCATAAAGATCTCTGGGTTTGACAAATGAGCTCAAAGCCACAGGACGAGGAGCCGCAGTTCTGGCGGTGCAGGAGGGAGAATCCAACGGTCAGAGGCTTGGAGCAAAGGGGTTGGGAGGGAAGAAAACCCTCAACCCCCCTGCCTGCCCGGGGCTTGTTTGAACATGTGCTTTGCCTCACGACTGTCACGGCTCCCCGCAGCCCCTCCTGTGCTTCAGGGTACTTTCCTTTCATCGAGGTTTTAGCAGCAGGACCCGTGGATTTGAGTAGAACTGCAGTGGTCCATCTTTGGTACTTGATCCAGGATTCATCTTGCTTCTTCCGTGGTTTTTGGGTTTTTGGGGTTTTTTTGGACAAAAGTGTTGATTTTTTTGGGGTGCTTTTCGAGGTACCGATTCCAGCTGGCACAGGAAAGGGATCCCAGGCTACAACAGAGAAGTCTGGAGAGACGAAATGTAGGGAAGGTTATGAGTGTATTAAGGATGAGCATCAGGAAATGCAGCATTTTGTGGGACAGAATGAGAAGGACGAAATAGAAGAATTAAACAGAAGGTTGGGAATGAAATGGAACAGAGTGGAATGGAATTAAATAGAAGAATGGAATGGAATAGAATAGAATAGAAATAAGAATAATAAGAATTAAAAGGATTTTAGCACAATAATCCTACACGTGGGAGGGGTTCCTTTTCAATCTGGTATCTGGCATTTTGATTCCAAGACCAGAACCGAATTTTTGCCTTTTTTTTTTTTTTTTTTCTTGCTTGGATTCTGATTATTCATCAGGAAATTAGGGCCAGGGCTGGCAAGGGCCTCTGAAATCACTGAGAGCAGCTGGAGACACGTAGATGTTACTCCCCTGGGACAGCCCAAGCTATAAACTTTATTGCCCTGTAAAGAGGAACCTGCAACATCAGAGGCTTTTCAGGGATCAATAAAATCAGCGTTAACTAAACTGTCAGCAGTCACTCTGCCCTTCCCCCAGCCTGCTCTGCTCTTCTGTTCCAATTAGGCTAAATTGGGACTCCGAATTTTGGGTGGAAGCCAAACTGTCAATCCCATAATCGGTTATGAACAATGTAAGCAATGTCTGTCTAATCTGTAAATGACCAGCTCGTCTGAGAGGCTCCTGTAATGATGCTAAAACAACCACTGGGGTGGGAATTATGGTGTCTGGAAAGAGCGGGGGGCGGGGGGAGGGGGAGAGGGAAATTCCTTTGGGAACTGCTGGTCATAGAATCCCGGAGTGGTTTGGATTGGAAGGGACCTTAAAGATCATCTCAGGGACACCTTCCACTAGTCCAGGTTGCTCAGAGCCTTGTCCAACCTGGTTCTGGCAGTTTAAAGGGCTTCAAACCTTAAGGGTTAATTGAAAGAAAATGGGGTGGAAAAGAGGAAAATTGGAGGTCGGAAGGATTTCAGGTATTTTTGGGGACACCAGTAGGTGCCCTGCGAGCCCACGTGGGGTGGGGGCAGAGCTAGGGCACCAGGGGCTGCTTGGCAGCGATGGTGGGAGAGGTTTGAGGTTGGTGGTGAAGCCCTGCCTGAGATAAATTGCTGTTCACGAGGGCATGTCCCCGTCAGCCAGTCCAAACCCCTGGATGTTCGAGTGGAGGTAGCCAAAAAACCCCCACAGCGAAGCAACTGCCGGCACAGCGCTCAGAGCTCCCTTTAACGGGTGCAGCGCTTAATAGGTGTGAGAAGAGGCTGCTGTGAAATGCAAACACGCAGTGAGGAATGCTGGGCTCGGGAGTGAGGGACACAGGGAAGTGGGGCAGGAAAACCAGGTAAATAACAGTAAAAGAAAAGTAAAATAAAGTGGCGATGGCAAGGTACTGTGTCTGGAACTTGAGCCTGGGTGGCTCAAGACATGGAAGCTGCCTGGCACCGGGGTTGGGCCAGGAGCACAGTTTTGGGGGAACTGGGAGGAAATTCCACAGTGTGAGCTCATGGGTGGGCCCTGGGTTTGCCCTGGAGAGAGGTGAGGGTCTGAGCATCCTTGCACAGATCCATGGAATCTCAGAATCCCAGGATATGCTGAGTTGGAAGGGAACCACAAGGGCCATCCAGTCCAACCCTCAGCCCTGCACAGGCCCAGCCCCAAGAGTCACCCCCTGTGCCCCAGAGGATCATCCAAACCTTCCTGGAGCTCTGGCAGCCTTGGGGCTGTGACTACTTCCCTTGGGAAGAGTTAGTGGGAATAAGAGGATGAGTCTGGGGGAGGAAAAGCCCCACTTTTCCCCTTTCTCCACTGCAGCATTCAGGAAGAATTCCTTAAATCCCTCATTTCCCCTTGAACACTTATCAAAGCCTCTGCCTGCCCTGCTGCCTTTGCTCCTCTCCAGCAGCACAGGTAAGAATAGCAACGATAAAAAATTAAAAGCTACAATAAACATTATTGATGCCATTCCTAACAAGACAGAGGAAGGGAAGGGAAAGGAGAGGATGCTGCCGAGAAAAATATCATCTGTCAGCCATAAATTACAGCCGTCATTAGGCTGCTACACTGGGGCCTGACAAATTATTTTGTGGAAGTACATGCTCAGCTGAGCCTTCCACTCTCAGCTATTCCAAGGCTGCACCTTAAAAAAATAATTAAAAAAATCAATCCAATCGATCCTGTATCAGTCTGGGATCCAGCTGGAATAGTGCTGGGCTCCCACGGAGCTCCTGGGCAAGGAGGACGAATTTTTGTGCTGGCAGGGGGTGGATTCAGTAGGGTGAAGAAGGGGAAGGTGGGCTCTGTGCGGGGCTTGCTGCAGGTCCCCAGCTGGGTGTGCAGGCTGCCATCCCCCTGCTGACTTCCCAGCTGGAGGATTTGGGCTGGGGTTTGAGGATGGGCTTTTCCATGGCTGTGTGGGGTCATGCCCAGCAAGCACATGCTGTGTCCTTTCAGGAGAGCCCCATGGGCCCAAATCTGGGGGTGCAGGAGCCATCTCAGGGGGCACCACGGCACTGGAACAGGCAGCAGAAGAGGGTCACAATGCCAGCAGCTCTCTGTCTATCTGTGACCTCCTGGTCCCCCAGATGTGGTGCCTCAGGATGTGCACCTGCTTCCTCCAGAGTTTTTTGTCATTCCAGAGGGATCCCAGCACCCTCCTCACAACTTGGCTCTTCTTAGAGACTATCAGAGAACCTTCTGAGTTGGAAGGGACCCACAAGGATCATCCAATCCAGCTCCGAAGTGCATGGCCCCTCTGGGGATCAAACCCCAGACCTTGGTGTTCTTGGCACTGTGCTCTGACAAACTGAGCTCATCTCAGGGTCCCTGATCTTTAGCTGATCCCATGGTTAATAAAAAGGGGGTGATGCCTTCAGGGTGATCCCAAATCCCCCTGTGCCCTCAGGCCCTGCAGCTTTACCTCAGCTTCCAGCTCTTCTGTCCCATGCTCTCAGCTCCATCCAGCCTCAACCCCCCATAACTTATCCCACAGGTCCCAGGGCTCTTGTGTGGACTGACAGCTCCTGCACTACCAAAACCAGCCCTGGGATTGCCTCCCCCACACTCCTCAGAGACCTCAAATTGCAGGAAAAATTGAGAAAAGGGGGAAAATCCGTGTTGTGGTGGAGCCTTTCCAAGAGCCATCCATCCCAGGGCTCTTCTAAGAGGCATCAAATGAGATTCCTGCAGTAGATGATTTGTTTTGTCGTTCTCCTGCCTGCTCAGATTAATCTCTGCTCCTGAAGTAGTGGTGTCATTTCCTGGAGACAGACGGCACAGGGACCATGGAGCCCCATAAATTAGAGATAATTCTGAATCCATCCGTCTTCCTGCCCACTCTCCATCCCCATGCCTTCCACAGGGCAAGGGCAGGCCCTGCAGGTGCCACCACAGCCGCTGCTTTGTGGACTAATAAATGTAATAGACCCCCTCAAGCTGGGAGAGGTTTGAACAACAGAGCGATTCTGGTGCTCAAAAGCAATTTGCCTTCTGCTGGTTTCCTTTTCTTGGCTCTTTGGAGGAGTGGGATCGTGGTTAGCAGTGAAATGCAGCATCTCTGATTTATTTTTTTTCCCCGTGCCAGGCTTTTTTCAGGGAAAAAAAGACAGTTTTGAGCAAGAAGATGGGGTTTGTAACTTCAAAGCTGGACTGGAGAGCTGGGCCTTCAAAGGAGGGAGCAAGTCCAGGGTGATTGAATTTAATTGGGATCATATGAGGGTGTAGGGATGGATGGGAGAGCTCAGAGTGCACGTGATTCAAAACCATCCTGCACACAGTGGTCTCAAACCTGGCCCCTCTGAGCCCATTTAATGCCATTATATCCACTAAATATCATAAAACCATCAAGGTTGAAAAAGACTTCCAAGGTCAGCAAGTCCAACCCTCAAACCTGTGTACAAATGTCTGTTTATATACACATGCACAAGGTACATATACAAATATAAATATATATATACACACATACAGATTATTCCTGGGTAACAAAATGAAAGCTTGGAGGAGGCAGGAACACCACTATTTATTATTTATGGACTGCACACTGTGACAAGCCACACACAGGCCTAAAAGGCTGCTCAGCCTCTCCCCTATGGGGTTTAAAAGCTTACTCTGACACAGGCAAACTGGTTGGAGAGCCCTGAGGGCTGGAGGGGACTGGCCAAGGCTGCAGGAAGGGGATGAGGCTTTGGCACTCCCAAAATTCCAGCTGTTCCCCAGCAATCAGCGTAAGGCAGCATCACCTTGGAGTCCTGCTCCTGCATTCCCAGAGCTGCTGTTGTAGGACACCAGGAGGGTGACAGGGACTCAGAGGAGGAGGACACATCCCCACCCCAGGGTCACTCTCCTGTGGAAAACAGGTCCCCTCACCCCAACCAGGAGCCCCCCACCCCCCATGGCAGCTCTTTCTGGTGTACTAGTATTTGAAGCTGCCTGGTGTCAGGTGAGTGCCTACCTGTCTCTGTCTGTTTGCCCCTGCTGAGAAGATTCATTACTTTCATGGATTTGGGTAATTTTTCCAAGTGCTTTCAGTTACAAACAATAACACTCCCTTCACTCTCAGCTCCGGAGCGAGGAGAGGGGTTGGGGGAAGCCCCAGTCCCCTCAGAGGGGATTTGTCCAAAGGACAACTCCCTTATCCCCCAGCTTGGTGTGAGCAGCTCTCCAGGTGCCAGAAGGCAAAGCCCTGCGGGGCAGGGGTAATTCCCAGCATCACAGGATGCGCTGAGTTGGAAGGGATCCACAAGGGTCACCAAGTCCAACCCTTCGCCCTGCACAGGCCCACATGCCACATCACACCATGTGCCTGAGGGTATCATCCAAATCTGGGCAGTTTCCCTGCTGGAAAGAGCAAGGCCATAGGTGTGAACCGGCTGCTGAGGCTCAAAAATTCAATTCATCCCTTGGTTTCTTCAACTGCAGCGCAGCAAACAGGCCTAGTGTCAGGAGAAAGGGCAGGGAGAGGGCTGAGGTGTCACAGGGAAGGAGGCATGTGGGGATGTGGGG